TTGGCCCGGGCCATTTCTCCGCCCGGGCCGGGGACTAAAAGAACTCTGGGTTTGGTAAACAAAAAAACGGTTTCCGCCGCTCCCGTGTTGGGGGGGGGGTTCCCCCCCCCCCCGCCCCTTGGGAAAAAAATAAAAAAAAAAAAAACCCCCCTTTGGGTTTGCCGCCCCCGCCGCACAACACCAGTTAATGAGAGAAATTACGGGCACAGCCCCTTCTACCCCTCGGAAGATAATAACTCGCCACGGCATTTGGTAGCCTAAGAGAGCCGAGCGGCACACACGTCTGGGGAGAGATGAGAGAGATCCTTTTGTCTCTAATTATATGTTCTTTCCCTACATTGAATATGGTTACATTGATTTGCCGCACACCACTGCGGAGGAGTGTGTATAATATTCCCACCCTCACCCGTGTATTTATATCATTATCTCATTTTCTTTTTGAGCTTTGGTTTCTTTTTTTTTTTTTGGTTTTGCTGCTCCTTTGTACTTGTTATTTTTATTTTTGCCCCCACAGAGAAACCTGTTCATGCACTTTATGTGCAAAGCCCGCAAGCCTTTTGCAAAGAGAAGATGTCACACTAATGAGAAATCAAAAGAATATATATAGTATATTCACCACACCGTTATTGACTTCGTTTAAAAGCCCCGATACATTTAATGAGCAATCTCCAACCGTCTTTTGTTCTCTCTCGGCTCCTCCCCACCCGGTAAAACGGAAATACAAAAACTCGCGACCCAGAGGCCGGCCCACCCGCGCGAACCCCCGTTCCACCGCCCCCCCTCACCTTTTTCCGACCTCACTCTTGGGCACGTCGCCGAGAAGTCTGGTTTTTTGTGCCCTTCTACACCAGCCTGGCACCACCTCTTAGTGGTAGTAAATATTAACAACAGAGATAAAGAGGTCATCCGGAAAAATCATATATCAAGACTTGTTTTGCGTTAACTAACGACTCGCTTTCCTTCACTACCCGCATTAAAAAACAAACATAACACAACAACCAAAACTATTTTAATTTTATCAACGCCACACACAACCCAGACCCCACTCGCGCTCATGCTCGCGCGTACCACACACACTTTACTATATAAGGTTTTATTAAATAACAAGAAGGCAATCTATATACTATGAAGAGCACCACACCTCGACAGTGAAAGCAGTTGCACCCAGTAATAGACCATCCATTACAACCTCCGCCTCTTTGTGCCCGCCCCGCCCCCCACCTGTTTCTCCTGACAGCGTTATAATTGAGGCTTATGTGTTATTATTTCATACTTATTTTCTGACGCCACCACACTGAGACGATAATCATACCGCACACACAAGAGAGTCCACGTATTTGTCATTATGCGAACGTCCTGACTCACTCTCAACTATTTGCAACACACCGTCAACAATACCGTTGAACCATCTCCTCTGGATCAGACCGCGCAATTGTAAAGTGCCCACTGAGAAATCGTCACGAACCCGCACGACATCGCTCACACACAACAGTTGTTAGGACCACGGACACGAAAAATACTCATGCAGAAATAAAACAATTAAACCACGTCCCCACAACTTCATAGTCCCATGCACCGCGTTAGGCGTGAGGTCACAAGCTCTGCGCTACACCCATCTGTCCATCGGATGGACGTCCTTTTGTGGTAATTGGGCTACACAGCTATACATTAGCACTTCCGCGCTCAGACGTAAAGAGGTGGCCGTGCACAAGTAAATTTTTTGAACCGTGACACAACCCCACCCACCGCCACCACACCCCACGCGAGACACTATACCCTACATTCATTTTTTTTTTTTGCACTCCCACACACGACACACCATACACACATACACATCAACACACGATCATACACACAGTTCACATCTCACAACTACACATCACACGCACACACACATTACCACACACACACCATACACACACACACATAACCACACTTGTTTTTTTTTGCATATGTCAACACACCAGCACACACACTACATCACACACCACACACACACATTACACAACACATTCACACCACAAACCACACACGCACCCACACACACACGCGCGCCGCGCACATCAAACCACACAAAACACCGAGTAAAATAACGCAAAAGCAATAGCAGAGCGCATAAACGAGAATCCCCACCGCACCACCACAAAAAAAAGCGTTTTTTTGTAAAAGCCACCACAACAGGTTTTTGGTTGGGGCTTTTCTCACCAGTCAACAAGATTTGTTCACATCATCACCCATACACCATAATCAATTATCACACTCACACCTGTTGTGCGGGGTCTCGCTGCATTAATACACAGGGGGGGTTAAAAACAGCACAACACACAACCCACACAACCATACAAACCATACAACAACCACGCGCGCGGCGCATCAAACACCCAACACACACACGCACACACCACACACAACACGCAACACACCCAACCGCGAATACACAAACACCTACACACTCACACGCGGCCGCGCGCATAAACAAACACAATCACACACCATACACAACTCACAACACACGCACACATAGCAACAAGCATACACTACACCACGCACCGACCGGGGCGAGTGCACGCACACGCACCCACACAAGCGGACCGACACCACACACACACAGCAACGCACGGCCACAGGGCTACCACACAGCGCACGCACCGCACAGCGCGCACGCACACACACAGAGAAACTTAACTGGGGAACACTCAAGGAGTTTCTTGACAGCGGGCGACTTTTCTTAGCGGCGTATCTGTCGATGCTTAATATCATAATACGGCGCGTTCACACAAGAAAAACCGCGAGACTAATCGCGATGAAATCGAGATAATTGTGTCGTTGTTCACACCGGCGGAAATATCTCTCGCTAATCGCCGAGCGGGATAATTCTATTAATCGAACTGCGCATGCTCACTGCCAGAATGATGCTCACTGCGCATGCTCACTGCTCACTCGCTTGGAATGATGGGATAGAAAATACCGGGATTATTTGCGCGAGCGTTCACACACGCAAATAATCGCGCTAAAATACCGGGATTATTTGCGCGAGCGTTCACACACGCAAATAATCGCGCTAATTCCAAATAATCGCAGTCAAAAGTGCGATTTGGAGCGCGATGCTAATCGCGATTATTTATATATTAATGCCTGCTGTTGGGGGCACTATGCTCTCATAGTGTTGCTGAGGGAAGGAATAGTGCCCGAGCGGCAGCGAGGGCACTATTCCTTCCCAAAGCAACACTATGAGAGCATAGTGCCCCCAACAACAGGCATTAATGTTTTTAGTGCATCACATGACTATGCAATCTACTTTTCATGCTTATATACCTTTTTTATACTCCATAATTTGCCGGTGTATTCGATGTAACAAAACGTTCGACACAAACACAACCGCCGTTCGAAACTTGCGTGGCGCCCAGACGCAGGAGATTCGTGACGTGAACACAATGCGTTATAATAACAATGCGTCGCGCAAGCAATAGTGCCCGCTCAGGCGGGCACTATTGCTTCATAGTGCCTGCTGCGTTATCCAATGGAATTTCAACGATTTATCACGTGATGCACTAATAATGAGTATTATTGCGTTCACACTTGTAATAATCTCGGTATTTCGATCGCGATGCAAAAACCGGGATTTGCATCCCGCTTATTCGCGCCAGTGTGGCGCGCCTAATATTATATGCTTTGGTGGCATTAGCTGGGCACTTGTTATAACAAATTTTTAACCAATGCAAGAAACAATATAAAAACAATGTTTCTCTGGTTAGATTAGATGGAGCGCCTTTGGTTATACATTGTTTTTTACATTGCCATTGTGTTTTCGTGTTGTGACGTTTCGCACTATTTTTATGTTTTTGAACGTGGAATGTGAAAAAAATAAAACTGGAAAAAATAGCCCATGCAACGTGTCATGATCTGTAGAATGTTCCGACCAAGTTTGGAGAGGATCCGTTGAGCGGGGCGAAAACGTATAACCGGACACACAGACACACACACACACACACACACACACACACACACACACACACACACACACACACACACAGAGAGAGAAAACCCCCAATTTATAGTAAGATATATATAATGTTAGAAAAAATATATAAGATAACATCTTACAACCAAACGATAAAAGGAGAAATGTACAAGATAAAAGCTTACACCCAAATTGCAATATTCGAAAGATATAAAATATAAACCGAAAAAGGCGAAAGGTGAAAAGAAAAATGTGAAAGAAGAAAAAGCGAAAGTTGAGATATAAGAGGTAAATGTAAGTTACAAAAGGTGAAATGCGAAAAGCAAAAGGTAATGTACTAACGCTAAAACGTGAACGATACACGAAGATGAACGAACAGTAAGAAGTGAATAAGGGCACGGCGAATGACACGTTATGAATGGTGGAAAGAGAAAATCAAAAGCTGATAGGTGAAAGTGAAGGTCGGAGACTAACAGGTATGAATACTCACGCGCTGCTTGCTTCGTTTGCGGTGGACGAGCTTTTCGATCACCATGGCAACCAGCGCGGCAATCATGGCCACCGCGACGACTGCGAAGGCCGGAAGTAGCATGTATTCACCGTCAACGGGGTAGAAGGAAAACTTCGGCTCGTCGCGTTCGCTCATGAAGGCCGTACCCACATCTTTGCCCGAATTACGACCTGTAGGCAGAGTTCGCATCCGAACCTTAAAGACTTGCGCTCTCACACAGTGCGGCACGCACACATTTATGCATGCACACACGCACACGCACACACACACACACACACACACACACACACACACACACACACACACACACACACACACACACACACACACACGACACAC